GAGAAAGATCAGGTATTGATTTGTTGATATAAAGTGCCTAATAAAGCTTACTGTCAAGGATGACTTTCTGGTGGAACTTTCTAATATTGATTGTTCAGAGTCTATAACTACATCTTCCTGAACATTTTACTTTTGCTTATTTTATGTTATCAGTTCAGCGGAATGCCCATGTATGGGCAGCAATAATATTTCAAGCGTGAGAATTTTTTAAGTCATCTAAGAAAGCATGCACCTGCACTCACCCCTCGGGTGAGTGTGCCTGGTTTCCTTCCTCTCCATCCCCAGTTAGGAGGCATTGTAGGAGAGGAAGGATTCACAGTAATTCATAAAGTCTCTTCTTTGGACTAACCTATTACAAATGTGCTGATAAACAGTAAAGTAAATACACTAAGATATTAAAATTAGCAAAAGTATCCCATCAAACTTTTCCTTTCAGTTTTAAATGGGTACTTTGTACAGGATGTTGTGTCCTCATTTCCCCTTGCAATAGTATTCTAGCCCTCTGTGTTAACACTCACTGGTAATTCCTTAAAATCACTTTCAATTTAGGCAGCTTTCCAGCTTTAAAAAACCCTTGAAATGAAGTTAACCTGTGCAAAATCACATGCTTTATAAGTTTAGCCTCCATAATAAGAAACTGTGCTAAACCATTTTAAAGAGTTCATAGTAATATGGATTATTGTCAAGAGAATAATATTTCTTTGTGTCACTTAGCCACACTCTGAGGTTTTAGAACTGTGAAAATATCTGGCCTTGTCACCTCCACCTTAATTCTTAAACAATTTAAGTACTTTTACTCTATCATGAAACTATAAGTGATCTTCTTTCATAGAAAGCTGCATTTTCAACATCTAAACAGAGGAGTTGAACAATTTGTATTGGGGGATATAGATGGAATTTAGAGTACAGGATTGAAAACAAAACAAATCCAGTAATAACAGTGAGCCTGACCATTGGTATTAAGTCCATCATTTCAGTTATTGTCAGCAACAGCCAATATAGTAAGTGCCTGTTTGCAATCAAGTCCAAATTGCGCTCAATGGTGCACTCGTCCCATGTGTGCTAACAGGGCATGGTAGTTTAAGTATTATTACAGACTCGTCAGTTACTCAATCGTGTCCAACCCTTTGCAACCTCATGGACCCCAGGCTTCCCTGGCCATCACTGACTCCCAGAACTTGCTGAAACTCATGTCCATTGAGTTGGTGATGTCATCCAACCATCTCATCCTCTGTCGTCCCCTTCTCCTCCTGCCTTCACTCTTGCCCAGCTAAGGGTCATTTCCAGTCAGTTGTTCACATCAGGTGGCCAAAGTATTGGAGTTTCAGCTTCAGCATCAGTCTTTCCACTGAATAGTCAGAATTTATTTCCTTTAGGATTGACTGGTTTGATCTCCTTGCAGTCCAAGGGACTCTCAAGTCTTCAGCACCACAGTTTGAAAGCATTAGTTCTTCACTACTCAGCTTTCTTTCAGGTCCAACTCTGACATCCATGCATGACTACTGGAAAGACCATAGATTTGACTAGACAGACCATTGTCAGCAAAGTAATGTCTCTGCTTTTTAATATGCTGTCTAGTTTGGTCATAGCTTTTCTTCCAAGGAGCAAACATCTTTTAATTTCATGACTGCAGTCATCATCTGCAGTGATTTTGGAGCCCAAGAAAATAAAGTCTGTTACTGTTTCCATTCTTTCCCCATCTATTTGCCACAAACTGATAGGACTAGATGCCATGATCTTAGTTTTCTGAATGTTGAGTTTTAAGCCAACATTCTCACTCTCCTCTTTCACTTTCATCAAGAGGCCCTTTAGTGCCTCTTTGCTTTCTGCCATAAGGGTGGTGTCATTTGCCTATCTGAGGTTATTAATATTTCTCTCTGAAACCTTGATTCCAGCCTGTGCTTTATTCAGTCTAGCATTTTGCATAATGTACTCTGCATATAAGTTAAATAAGGAGGGTGACAATATACAGCCTTGACGTACTCATTTTCCTATTTGGAACCAGTCTGTTTTCCCTGTCCAGTTCTAACTGTTGCTTCTTGACTTGCATGCAGATTTCTCAGAAGGCAGGTAAGATGGTCTGGTAGTCCATCTCTTGAAGAATTTTCCACAGTTTGTAATTTACACAGTCAAAGGCTTTAGTAGTCAGTGAAGCAGAAGTAGATGTTTTTCTGGAACTCTTTTGCTTTTTCTATGATCCAGCAGATTTTGGCAATGTGATCTCTGGTTCCTCTGCCTTATCTAAATCCAACTTGAACATCTAGAAGTTCTTGGTTCATGTACTGTTGAAGCCTGACTTGGAGAATGTTGAGCATTACTTTGCTAGCATGTGAGATGAGTATAATTGTGCAGTAGTTTGAACATTCTTTGGTATTGCCTTTCTTTGGGATTGGAATGAAAACTAACCTTTTCCAGTCCTGTGGCCACTAATGAGTTTTCCAAATCTGGCATATTGAGTGCAGCACTTTCACAGCATCATCTTTCAGGATTTGAAATAGCTCAACTGGAATTCCATCACCTCCACTAACTTTGGTCATAGTGATGCTTCCTAAGGCCCGCTTGACTTCGCATTCCAGGATATCTGGCTCTACGTGAGTGATCACACCATCGTGGTTATCTGGCTTTTGAAGATCTTATTTGTATAGTTCTTCTGTGAATTCTTGCCACCTCTTAATATCTTCTGCTTCTGTTAGGTCCATAGCATTTTTGTCCTTTGTTGAGCCCATCTTTGCATGAAATGTTCCCCTGGTATCTCTAATTTTCTTGAGGAGATCTCTAGTCTTTCCCATTCTGTTGTTTTCCTGTATTTCTTTGCATTGATTACTGAGGAAGGCTTTCTTGTCTCTCCTTGCTATTCTTTGGAACTCTGCATTCAAATGGGAATATCTTTCCTTTTCTCCTTTGCCTTTCGCTTCTCTTCTTTTCTCAGCTATTTGTAAGGCCTCCTAAGACAGCCATTTTGCCTTTTTGCATTTCTTCTTCTTTGGGATAGTTTTGATCACCGCCTGCTGTACAGTGTTATGAACCTTTGTCCATAGTTCTTCAGGCACTCTGTCTTATCAGATTTAAATCCCTTGAATCTATTTGTCACTTCCACTGTATAATCATAAGGGATTTAATTTAGATCATACCTGAATGGTCTAGTTGTTTTCCCTACTTTCTTCAATTTAAGTCTGAATTTTGCAATAATGAGTTCATGATCTGAGCCGTAGTCAGCTCTAGGTCTTGTTTTTGCTGACTGTATAGAGCTTCTTATTTTTGCTGACTGTATACAGTCTTCTCTGTAGACTGTATAGAGCTTACTGAATGTATAGAGCTTTTGCTGACTGTACAGAGCTTTGCACTGGTCATAGCCAACATCTTCTTCCAACAACGTAACAGATGACTCTACACATGGACATCACCAGATGGCCAATACTGAAATCAGATTGATTATATTTTTTGCAGCCAAAGATGGAGACGCTCTATAATGTGTATTTAAAAACCCTTGTTATAATACGTGAATGATGGGGTTATTGTGATTGTATTTACCCTTCCTTTGTAAGCCTCAAGGGATTTGGGCTGGTAGGTTTTACACATGGGGTATAAAAGATTTTCACAAATGCTGGTTGGGGCCCTTGGCTAAGAGGAGACTCTGCCTTGGGCCCACCGGTGTAATAAACTGCACTCCACTAAAAATAAATAAATAAATAAATAAATAAAACCCTTGTTAGACACTTTGGAAATGTTATGTTGTAATATTTTAGGAAGTAGGAAATTCTTTTAGATCCACAGTCTTATTTGATCTTCATAAGTGCCAGCCCTCAGGTGCGCTTGGTCTAAGACACGATGCTGCTCTGAGGTTGAGTTTAGGTAGGATGGGACACAGGAAGTTGATCTAGGATGGATAGTGCAGCAGGGTAAACCAGGGCTAAAATGAGGATCTAAGGGGAAGAAACAAGTCAGCCTGTTCCAAAAGCTATCTCTCCAGGACCAAGGAGCTGGTCAGAGAGAGGTGGATTTAGGCGAGACATCCAGCTGAAGGCTGGGATTGGATACCAGTTCTGAGAAACACCATCCCTCAGTAGGGGCACATGCAGTGATGTGTGACCACCCCCTGAAAATGCCCCGTGTCTCTGTACACCCTTCCTTACCTCTGCTTGTGTTCTTCCCTGAAATGCCTAGTTATTTGTTGTGAAAATATGTTAGGTACCATAGATTCAAAGTTAGGAAACCCAGTTCCTGCCCTCGATGACCTTTACATGCAGGACTAAAGACTAAGTCCTTAGTGAGAAGGACTAAGAATAAATAGTCACTTGTAATATAGTGTGAGAGATAAGGCCATTGGCACAGATTGGAGGATTCTTGAGGGGTATTTGATTCTTTAGAATTAGACTTATCTGGATAAACAAGATGGGAAAGAGGAGTATTGTAGCAGAGAAGAAAGTATTGTTGAGGCAGGTAAAAAGCAAGGTATTTCATACTGTGCAGTGTGTATTTAATCCAGAAAGCATTAGTTGGCACTGAATTTTTAGCAGGTGAGCAACAGTGTATGATTTGTCATTTAGAAAGATCTCTTGGCTACAGTGGGGAATGAATTTAAAAACTCAAACAGAGGCAGAGAAACAAGCTGTTTCAGTGACCTCAGTCTATAGCGTTGGAAAAGGAGAAGAAGGAAAAGATTCCAGAGATGTTATTACAGCATGACAGTCACAGGACTTGCCGATGGGTGAGAAAGAGTGAGTATTCGAAGATGATGCATTCTCCTGCCTTGTTTTTTTTGTTTGTTTTTGTTGTTGTTGTTGTTGTTGTTTTTTACCAAAAATAAAGAAATGGATTTTGTTGAACCTGCAAAACATATCTAAGACTTTTAAAAACTACTGGATCCTGTTCCAACTGCTCTGTAATTCAGGGGAGTGCAGTAGGGTGGAAACAGTGTCACCAGGATCACTGCTTGCCTAGTGGGTAGAAGGATAGTCTCTCCAATCATGTTTGCATCTCTTCTTGTTCTTCTTCCCAAGTCACGTAACACAGACTACATCCTGGATGCACCCCGTGATGAGCGCACTGAACTTGTCCTGCTCAGAGGAGAATGAAGAGGATTGTTCCAGAGAACCTCCCGACCAGAGGAACTGATGAGTTTCTGTGGGAAGCTGCACTCCATGGTCTTCCAGCATCTCCATCTACACAGATAACTCTGAGACACAACATCTAAACGAGGAGTAAAACATACACTAGTTAGTGAAGTTGTGAAATGGAGACTCTGGATTTAAGCTCTTTTTGTAAAACTTTTGGATATAACTGTATACGTTTGCAAAATTGATTGCCACTATAGTAGTTCTTTAAGAATAATCTAGTCCTATTTTTTAATCATATGTAATTAGATTTTATAATATGTATAATTTTTCATATGTAATTAGATCTTTGTCATTTTATATTTAGTCCTTTATGGAATATCAGACAGTGGTTTTTATAATTAAGACTTTGAAAAATTATGTGAACATAGTGAAACACTTCATTTATTTGATAATTCACTAATCTTTTATATGCATATCATAGGAAGGGATTTAAGCAAGCTTTGGGGAGTTCTTATGGATCACATTTAGATGACTGTCTCACAGGCCACTGGATACAGCTTTTATCTTGATGATGCTTTCTAATTTACAAAATGCCTTTCAGACCCTGTTTTATGTAAAGCATACAACGTGCCTGTGAGGCAGCTCCAGTGGGTATTTTATAGTTAGGAAAATAGCGGTTCAGAGAAATGAAGCCCCTGTCTTGGAGCTGAGGCTCACACCATTGTCTTCAGTTCCACACCCAGGCCCCTTTGCCCCACATTCCACTGTCCTGGCAGAGGCAGGTCGCCTGACACGCGGGTCCCGGGGCTCTGTTGATACAGCTGAGCTTCACCGCTGTGCACCCCAGGAGCCACAGAGACTTAGGGGGCACGTCTGCATTAAACATGGCTCCCACCCGGTCCATGCTTCTTTATAAGCCCTTCCCCCACACACTCAGCTGGCAGAGGCAGGGCTTTGAGATGTTCTTGCAAACGGGCTTCTTTTCAACAGCTCACATTTTTCTAAAGTAAAGTGGCTGGCTTCCATCAGGGATTTGCCCAGCCTGAGTTATGCTGGCTGGAGAGAGGGTGTGAGAGGGGCCAATGAACAGAGAATAGAGAGGCATCCAGAATCTGTGTCGAAAGAGACATCCATCAGCCTCCAGGCTGATTATGCTTCTGATCTCATTTCATTTTATAGTTAAGGGGAGTTTCTGGAAGGAATGAGCCATTGACTTGCAGTGCTAAAGATTTTCTCTCCGTTTAATGATTTAAACCTGGAGCTGGGAAATGAGGGTGGGAGAAGGATTGGAGTTGGGAGGAAGTCATTTTAAATGCTCTGGGCATTAAGTACCAACTGAATAATAAAAGGGACTTATCCTTACCCAACATTGTTAATATTGTTAGGTAATATACTTAGGAGGAAAGTCAGCAAGATTCATTAAACATCTTTTGGTGAAAAAGACTCATTTTTCAAATGAGTTCTTATGTAGAATCTCAATACTTGTAATAGATTTTTTTTTTTAATATTGCTGTCTTACTGAAAAGATGGAGGCTTGGAACTCAATTAAAACAGCAAACCTAAAACTCCTTAGGATATATACTGTCAGAATTATCGATTGTAACCGTTTTGTAGATGAGTAAGCTGAGGTCCTAAGAGTTCACACAGTAAGGTCAAACTTAGACCTAGATCCTGAGTCTCCTAGTCTGCTACCCTTCGTGTGGTATGTTATATAGACCTATGCTATAAATACATGTGTACATCATACTCACACGTTCCTGAATATATGTAGGGTTTATAATTCTGTCTTGAATGATAACATAAGTCAAATCCAGGGTGATGTGTAGTCATCAGCCCTGAGAAAAGTTTTAGAATGGCCACAGAAGACCTGGGTTTCCCCTGACAGCTCTTTGAGTACCGGGAAGCTGCAGGGAGACGCGTTTTGAGAGAAGGCCCTGAGCGAGCTCTTTCCTTACGTCCCCTGAGATGAGTGAAGTCCTCAAATACCCCAAGTTACTTTTATACGTTAGTATCTATGATCGTGAAAGTGCAGAGTATTTGTTGTTGCCGAATTAATGATACGAAATGCCCCTCCCCTCCCTGGGAATGTTTTTCTAATTAGTTTCTGGTGAGGAAAACGCAGGAGACGCTTGAATCACTTGGCATCAAGGTTCTCAGGGCACATTTCACTGGCGGAGGCCTCGTACATTGACTGTGCTGTTCGGTGGCACTTTCCTCACTGACTCCTAATTGAACACCTAATGGAAACGGTCTATAAAAATTGTAATATGAGGGACTTCCCTGGTGGTCCAATGGTTAAGACTCTGAGCTCCCACTGCAGAGGGCACAGGTTTGATTCTTGGTCAGGGAACTAAGATCCCACACAGCACACAGGACACAGCCAAAAAATAAATAATATCTAAAAATAAATTTTAAAAAATAAAATTTAATATTACTTATTGAGCATATTGTGCCATACATTTGTGATGGCAATTTGCATATGTTATTTCATTATCTTCTTAAAACAGCCCCGTGAGGTAGAAACTATGATCATCCCCATTTTGTAAAGAAGTTTACAATTAGAGAGAATTGCTAGTCTTTGTTTCAGGGTCCACACAGCACCTAAGAGTGGAAGCTGGGTCTCAAGGCAGGTTTCCCAGGGCCTGCTCTGGTAAACCACTGCAGCCCCACTTAGAACCATTGTATGTGACCCTGGAGGGCAGAGCTGGGGTCCACGGGTCAGTTTTACAAAGAAACAGATTCCAGCTCAGTTTGATAAGGAGCTTTCTGGTAGTTAGAATGCATCAGGACAGAATTCCCCAGGAGAAAATGGAAGCTGTGTCCCAGGAGAGTTCCATCAGTCTGAACTCCTTGTTATGAGACCGTTGCTGAGGAGGTTCAGGGTTCTCTGCCTGGACCGCCTGAGCACTGCCTGAGAGTTCTTCCTCCGTGTGCCCCTGTGACCTCTGAACCAACAGATAAATGCCCCAAGAGATGCTCAAAGAAACATATGGCAGGGATTCATGAAGAGTCCTTATTCAACATAGGTGGAACCCCCCAGTTAATTTGGAGTGGGTTGACATTTATATAATCCATCTTTCAAATTCTTCTCTTTTGACTGACTGACTCCGATTTTAGGATTAAAAAAGCTCAGTGTTCTTATGTGCTTCCATCTCGCTTTACTGAAGAGTGACCTGGCTTATGGACCGAGCCACCCCCACACCATGCCAAGCGTGGTGCTAGGCACTGTGGTGCAGTAGGGCAATGGCCAGCCACTTCCTGGGGTCCACTTACTGCTCTTCAAAAGGTGGAAAGCTTCTCAGGTAGTCAGAATTGAACAGCTTTTCTTTAATTTTTATTTTTAAAATAATCTATTTCCATTTAAACAAATCAAGTAGTATGGAATTGAGTGAAGTTAAAAAAAATAGCCCATCTCACTTTCCCGAGGTAGCCATTACTGATACATCGATGGGTATTTTTACTGAAAGGAAGTCATCCTGTTAAGTATCTTTGAATTAATATATTATGGTAGTTATTTTCATGGTGATACACAGATTAATGTTATATTTCAAAGGGCTCTATAAAATATCACTACCCAGATAACTCCTAATTTCTGTAGCCAACAATCTATTGATGAACTCTTAGGTTAATTTAAGTTGTATTCTGATACTGTACTGATCTAGATAATAGAAGTGATCTTAATTTTATCATTTTATCAAGACATTAGAGACATCAGAGTTTATTAAAAGGTCATATGTACTATCAAATACAATTACTCTGTCCAGGAACCACCCAGGCACCCCCTCCTAATCCTCTGAGCCAGATTAAAAGTTTCCTTCATGCTCCATTTTTAAAAATTTTTTAATTTTATTGAAGTATGTAGTTGATTTTCCTTTGTGATCCTTATTGTCCTTGTGTTTGATTTTATGCTGGTGTTTATCATGTTGTACAGGATTGATTTATTGTTCTCTTTTGATAGTTTGTGAGTTTTTTGGGGGGGTGCTGTTTTTTATTGTCCTTGGAATTTATGCACATGTTATGTACTCCTTGATTCTTTTTTCCTCCAGTTTTATTGAAATTTAATTGACATACAGTACATATAAGTGTTTTTAAAAAGTCTTCAGTTACTAAGAGTGCCCCAGTGACCATTCTCATATTCATTAAATCCTTTTCCTCATATATCTGTGCACTCTTGTGCCAGTATGTCTATAGTGAGAATACATTCATAAAAGGAAATCACAGACTTCCCTGCTGGTCCAGTGGTTAGGAATCTGCCAATGCAGGGGACACAAGTTCAATCCCAGGTCCGAGAAGATTCCGCATGCCTCAGGGCCACTAAGCCCACACACCACATTTATTGAGCCTGTGCTCCCCAGCAAGAGAAACCACCACACTGAGAAGCCCCACACTGCAACTTGCTGCAACTAGAGAGACCATGGGCAGCAACAAAGACCCAGCGCAGCCAAAAATTAAAACTAATTAATTTTTAAAAGTAAATCACTACATCAAAATCGTGCTCATTTTAATTTTGATATATATTCACAAATTTTCCTGTGTAAAAATAGGACCAAATTACACTGCCAGCAATAACGTATGAGAGCTTTTCTTCTATGTGTTAAAGGACATTTTTTTTTAGTCCAAAGATTGCCAATAACATTTCTGATTGTTTTTGCCCCTGGAAGAGTAATCTTCTTTCCGTCCTTGTATAAGGACCTGAATTTCTCCATCATCGGGTTTTAGCTGTCCGTTGGCAGCAGAGGCTGACTCGTTCTATGTGGGGGAGTCTAGCAGTGACCAATTCACTGTTGGTTAAGCACATCATTACTGTCATCTTTTTACTTGCAAGTATTGGCCTTTCCTACTTTATATATAGTGATGGTGAGGACCAACTTTTAAACGAGCTAACTTGGGTGAGAGGCCTTGGTAAAGTGCAAAGCACGATGCAAACACACTTTGAGCCCTGGTTTCCCTGTCTGTGAGGGGATGGTCATCCTCTGACAGTTCCGAACCCATTCAACTCAGCAGCCACTTCCTGAGCACCTGCTGGACGCCAGACAAGATGCAAAGGCTTGAAGACCCCACACTGGATAGTTCCAACTCCCAAATCAAGAAGCTCATAGTCTGAAACCTTTTCCCTTTCCTTCTTTTTTTCTCAGAAACATTTTATTTTTCCTTAAAGGAGTAAGAAGTTAGGGATCTGGTTAGTAAGAACACCTGAACAGAGGCCCTTTATCACTCTCTTAAATTTGAATAATTCCAAAATAATATTAACACCCCTTGACTAGAAATGAACATACCGTAAGAAGGGCCTCTCCAATAATAAATGCTAAGCAGCTGTAAAAATAAGGAGTCAAATGATACTTTCATAAAGTGTTTGCAAAATTAGAAAATATTATCCTTTTTCTGGGGTAAATGGACATTTTATTTTCTCTGCTAAGTAAAATACAACTCTTTCAAAAGTCAACAAACTTGAATTTTACAATACACAGAACAAAAAGAACTAAACTAACACAAAAACAACTTACATAGCATGTAAATGTTGAGAGGATGAAAAGAACTTTAAATAGAAAATTAACTTTAGAAATAAAATCCCAAGATGTTTTAACCACAGCTAACCACATATAATATCATTGGACCTGTGTGATGATTATGTAAATATTAAATGCAATTCTGTATTTGCTCTCTTCATATGACTTCTTACATTTAACTAATACTACTTTTGTTAATTTTGTTTGAATTTCACTCTCAGGGTACAGGGGTGGTCTGAGGGACAGTGCAATCAGATTAATAGCTCTGACCCCTCCTCATTCCTGTTCCCCCATCACCAAAATATTCTCTGTCATTTTACCCTATTTATTTCTTTTACATTATTTATCAATTTGTAATGATATATTTGTTTACTGTCTTTCTTAATAAAGAGAATAAGAATGAGAGTGAGTTCCATGATGGCAGGGACTTATCTGCCTCATTCACCATTGTAAGAAGGGTCTAGCACTATGAGCGAGGGGCCACACAGTGCCTGAGCACAGTGGGTGTTCAATGCATCCTTGCCAAACTGAATGTGTAGTGAGCTGTCCATAAGTAAGACTTATTTACCACTTCAACTCTCAGGCCCTTGTATTCGTTTATTCACTTACACAATTACTGAGTGCTACAGATGCCAAACACTGCAAAGTCCTAGAATTCAATTCAAAACAGATGTAGTCTTAACTCCTGTGTGATTTATATTTTATGCAAAGGACATTCAACTGAAATTAACCAAAGCTTTTTCCATTTATTTTCTTTATTCCATAGCTGAATTTCTAGGCCATTTAATGTCATTGCCTCGAGAAAGGTATGTGACATCAGAAAGCAGAGGAACGCTTGCTCTTTTGAGTTTCAAAAGTCTGACTCCTTAGGGAACTGGAAAGGATTCATGATTTAGAACAAAGATTTGAAAGTACATATGATGCAAAAGAGCAAGGCTTTCCTACTCCCACTCTACGATATAATTCTCCTGGCTGTGGGAGAGGACAAAGAACAAAAATGTTGAAGGGGCTCAGAGAAATGGACTGGGCCCCACCTCCTGGACCACCTTCCTGGTAGCAGTAAAACATGGTGATATATGTTAGTGTTGAGCAGAGGAAACCCATTCCTCACTGTGCCCCAGGATAGAAGTAATTGCAAGGTGTGTACAGGCAGATAGAGTCTTGAACAACATCAGTGAGCTTCCTCCAGCCCAGTGTGATTCAAACTGGAAGATCAAATGGATTTCCATGAACCCAAAAGGATCACAGGAATAGAAAGACCCTCCCACGCCCCCCACCAGACCTAAAAAAGGATTTTTTTCCATTTAATCCAGTTAATGAGGATTTTTTTTCATTTGAAGCCTCTCAGTGAAACCCAATTTGGACAATGACATCACACCATCCAAACCCAGAGTGCCCTGGCCCTTAGTAAGTCTCCCGGAGTTTAGCGATGACTGAAGAATGGAGAAAACTACAAGGTGACTGAGATTAGTATCAGTTGAGATCACTTATACCCTGCCCATAATGTTCCCTTCCTCCAGAGCAAAACCTCTGGATAACCACGATAGTGTGATCACTCACCTAGAGCCAGACATCCTGGAGTGCGAAAAAGTCAACTGGGCCTTAGGAAGCATCACTACAAACAAAGCTAATGGAAGTGATGGAATTCCAGCTGAGCTCTTTCAAATCTAAAAGATGATGCTGTTAAAGTGCTGCACTCAGTTCAGTTCAGTCACTCAGTCGTGTCCGACTCTGCAACCCCATGGACTGCGGCACGCCAGGCCTCCCTGTCCATCAACTCCCAGAGCTCTCTCAAACTCGTCCATTGAGTCAGTGATGCCATCCAACCAT